GCAGTTCAAAAGCATGTCAAAGTGCAAGTAGATAAATAGGTACTGCTCCGGTGGGAAGGTAAACAGTGTTTCTGTGCGCTGCTCTGGTTCGTCAGAAGCAGCTTAGTCATGCTGGCCACATGACCAGGAAGCTGTCTGCTGACAAACGGCGGATTCCTCAGTCTAAAGAGCGAGATGAGTGCTCAACCGCAGAGTCGTCCGCGACTGGACCTAACTGTCAGGGGTACCTTTGCCTTTTTATTTAGCCAGTAAATGGGTGGTAAGGAGAGTATATTGGGGAATATGATTGTATTTGGTGAGTGATTTGTCCTTGGGACTAGCAAGGGAGTCAAATAATTTATAGAGTCATATATGTCTGTCTCTCTAGGTTTTCTATATACTCGAACACTGTCCTTTTACTGATCTGTGCCATATGGATCCAGATAATGTTGAAAATGTGCATTTGACCAGAATAAACCCAAGTGGATCTTGGTATTCATGCTACTTTTGTGCTTCTGCTAATCATTTTGCATTGAAGCTGGTTTCTTTCTCTCTCTTTTTAACTTGATTGTTTTTTAAGTATAGTTTATACTGCATGAAAAACTGCTTTTTTGCATAACGATTGCTACCTTCCATGAATGGGTACATTCTTTTTAAATGGAAACGATGAAATGTAATACTAATTGCTCATAGTCCATTGCACCCCAGAATTCATCTACGTTTTCAGTTAATTTTGTTGTAACAGTCAAGAACAGGACATACTGTAAACAGGTTTTTTCTAATCCTGACAATAATGTTGTTGTTGTTGTTGTCGTAATAATAATAATAATAATAATAATAATAATAATAATAATAATAATAATAATTTTATTATTTATATGCCGCCCATCTAATTGGGTCTTTTCTGCTTTCATCTCTGTTGCAGTGAGGCATCACCAGTTCTGCTGGCTAGAGAAGTATGCAGTAGCCACTGCTTTGGTAGATAGCAGGTGACACAAGGGGACTAAAAGGGTTCCACTTGACTATAAATCCTAAGACACTGGCCTAGCACTTCATTTTGAGAAACTAGTTATTGAAGTAGAACTATGCAGCTCATAGACGATTCATACCTGCTTGACTGGTGACTCAGTACTGTACTTGCTTTGTTTCCCGATCACTAGCCTAGAATGCCAGCAGCTGCTACTGTCAGTTAGGGAAGATTTGCACTACTAACTTTAAGCTAGTTTTAAGGTAGTTTAGCTACCAGGATTTGCTGTTCCCAGCCCCTCCTCTCCAAAAATCCTGAGAGTTCCAGTACAGTGGTACCTTGGGTTACAGACGCTTCAGGTTACAGACTCCGTTAACCCAGAAATAGTACCTTGGGTTAAGAACTTTTCTTCAGGATGAGAACAGAAATCGCGTGGCGGCAGTGGGAGGCCCCATTAGCTAAAGTGGTACCTCAGGTTAAGGACAGTTTCAGGTTAAGAACGGACCTCCAGAACGAATTAAGTTCTTCACCCGAGGTACCACTGTATTTTAAAGCAGTGTTCTAGAAGCCTTCAAAGCTAATTTCCAGGGTTTCTTGAATGGCAGAGCCACAGCATTTCTGATCTGTTTCTTTTTCTCTTGTAAATGTGTCTTTAGGCAGATCAAATGTTTCTCAGGGTGGTGTTTGCAGGAAAAGGCAGCACTTATCCAAATGGAGAGCAGCACAACACAAGTTTGTACTAACTTAGAAATCAGCGAAAATGCTCTTTCCTCTAAATTTCGAAAAGGGAGCCTTTTGGTTGGAAACTTGAGCTGAGATGTCTGGTTTATAGAGTGGTATGCGAATGTTAATAAGTAAATGGCACATAATAAAGGAAAAGTCACCCTCACTGTGCGGCCATCTCACAGGGTTATGAAAAGTGTACATTGAGATAGTGGCTACATTATCGTTCACCTGAATCCTTTGGTATAGGGGACAAAATAGATCATCTTATTTTGTGAAAGGCAATTTCAGTAGGACTAACATCAGTGCCAGCTCAAAGTTTTTGCTGGCTCTTGGAAAATCTCACTTTTAACTTCTTCAAATATCTGGAGTAGCCAGGCAAACCTGTTGACTGGCTGGTTGGTGGGAAAGCATTCACCAAAGAGGAATAGCCTAATGCAACCTCCCTCAGTAACAGGTTGCTAAGACTAAGTGCATAATGCAGATCTGAAGACTTTGTGGTGTTCACTGGCATGGTATAGACTCTCTGTTATCTAGGACCTGAAGGATTTTGGTATGGCACGAGTGTCTCTGCATAAACTACTTACTGCTCTCACATCCTATTAGTATTTCCAGGTTTCCTAGTGGCACCTGACTTTGAATTGAGCAGTAGCAAAGGGTGAGTAAATAATATAAATTTCAAGGAGCCAGCCACCAAATATTTAGTCACCCGGAATTATTTAAATCCCTTGGCGCCAGCTTCCTATTTTTAAGAGTCCAGGCTCCCTGGCACCTGGTTTATTCCATTCCCAGTGATTATTTCTAGCCATTATTTAGGATGCCTTTATTAACTTCACAATGGAAAAAAGGAGTCTTAACCAGTCTTTTTGAAATCGTGTTTACTTAAATAGAGAGGGCCAAAATCAACTCATTTTTTTGCAATGCCATTTAGCAATTTATTGACTCACCACACGAGCTCTGCTTAGCTCTACAGCATAAGAAGAAGTGCCGTCTTTTCTCCAGCTAAATAGCTAAAAGGCGTTTATATTATATGCATTTTAAAATGTTTACATTGCATGCTCTTCGTGCATCTGAATCTTTCCGTATGGTGCAGTTCTGTAATGAACAGGGATCACGTGGCTCCTTTGTGGCACAGCTGTCAAAGGGGTGGGGGAGCATATCTTTATTTGCCTAATGTAGTATGAGAGAATCACCCAGAAAAGTAGTAATTTACTTTGCAGTTGGGGAAATTAAAATCTGTTCTTCCATTACAGAGTGTTTGCTGAAAATTTATAGTCTTTCGGTAAGGGATCAAAATCCAAAGAGGTACATTGCTGGATCCCAGCCTCCCGTTATGAGTGTAGTTATTAAGGAGAAAACTGGAGTAGGCTGGTGGGTGGATTCCAGTGTGTATAGAGTGTTTCTGAAGGATTAATTTCTGAAATATGGATAGCATGCACATTTTCACAGTCTCAGCACAAGAAGTAAAGCAATGATGACATTGTAGTTACGAAGCCAGCTTCTCCTTCTCACTTTCCATTCACACTTTCTTCCTCCCCTTTGGCTTTCTAAACAGGCTATAATCCTACTGTGAGTATTTTCCCATTGATGAGAATAGGATTTTCTGATTAATAGACATTGGAGGATTGCAGTTTAGATGTCAAAGAGCAGCAAGGGCTGTTCCAGTGTCACAAGGCAGCTGTGGCACACTCATGGGAAGGGGCTGGACAATTTGGTACGAAAGTGTAAGAGTTTATTAACAGAAGCCTGAAGAAGCCGTGTTCTTTTCCTTCCATGATACATGTTCATCAGATCATAAGAACACTTGAGGCTTAACTATGAAGCAATGTGTTCTTAGAGATCTCATGATTTCTGGACATCGGAAAAGTTCTTTGTCCTTTCCTTCTGTGCTTTTGCTGTATTGTGACTTTCTTGAGGGAACTCTACATTAAGAAAACCTAGTCCTTGAACACACCTTGTGTACCATTCTCTGTAGACTAAAATTAGTTTTAGCTTCTTTCCTTTAACTTGCAGTGGGCTGGAGATAGCTTCTGCCAGAGTCTCTCTTACTAGGGATTTGACTTGAGCCACCTCACCTTTGTGACATGTGTATATCAAAGGGTAAATGTAGACATCAATTCAGCAGCCAATGAGCAAAACATACTTTTTACGCCCTCCAAAACAGCCCTTTTCAGGCCTACCCTTCAACACAGTGTAGTCTAGCAAAAGGACCGAACCTAGTTGACAAGAGTGCAGTTTGATGCTGGCTACACTTTATGGAGAGGCACAAAAGGAAACTAAAGGCTAGTGTTGAGATAACTTGGGTTGGTGTTTTGGCGAAATATTTTATTTCCATTACTTTGGGGGTTAATAAAGCTCCTAGTGCAGCTGGCTACTCCTCATGTAACCATCTTGGCGATGCGCCTTGCTGACTGCCTTCAATCTCCTGTGCTTTCATCCATGCTCTGCTTCTTGGTGCTTCCTGGTAAATCCAGTCCACGAGACACTAGGAGTGACGGCTCTTCACACATCTACTTCTCATGCTTTGTTTCCTGGTCACCTTGCACTGTGTAGATAAGCTCTGGAATTCATTCCCGCAAGAAGCAGTGATGGCCGCCAACTTGGATGGCTTTGAATGAGTAATAGACAAATTCATGGGGGGATAAGGCTATGTTTTGCCTCTGCTGTCACAGATTGCTGGTTGATGGGACTTACAAGGGGTCCTGCAGGTCCTGTTTTCAGTCTTCCCATGGGCATTTAGTTGGCTACTGCAAGAACAGGATGCTGGCCCAAATGGACACTGAACCAGCAGGCTCTTTTATGATATTATGCTGCTAAGTTTCTTATATTCTTCTAGCATGATTTAATATTGCTACAGGGTGGCATACATGATTCTCCCCTCATTCTTTTTTATCCTCATTAGTAACCCTGCAGGCTCAGAGACTGACTGCACCCACCCAGTGAGTTTCATGGCCAAGTGGGTATTTGAAGCCTGGTTCTCCAGGTTCCAGTCCATCACTCTTAACTATTCCTTCCTTTGCCCCCTGCTATTTTTCCCCTCGCTTGAATAGATGCACTTAAGGCAGCACCAACTTATTCAATAAAAATGTTATTCCATGCAAGTGTTATCTGAGACATCTGCCTAGGCTTGCCTAGTAAGTGGTAACTCTAATTTGGGGATGAAAGAACAACATGAATTTTGTGTGTGCGTGTTTCACAGTGATTTGTAATACAGCATGCACAGATTAATATTCTTAAGTATTACTTTGGTTTTTCCCTTCTTTTTGTATCCTTCCTAGGAAACAAAAAACACGCAATGGTTAATGAACGTTCTCCTTTTCATCTTTCATAGGTGACTTTAGGTGGGACCTTTATTGGCATTGGACGCAAAACTCCAGATTGCCAGGGGAACACCAAGTATTTCCGCTGCAAGTTCTGCAATTTCACCTACATGGGCAATTCATCGACAGAGCTGGAGCAACACTTCTTGCAGACCCACCCAAACAAGATAAAATCCACCGTTCCTGCCTCTGAATCCAGCAAAGCCTCAGACAGGAACTCGAGCAAATCCAGTCCTACTGTTCGATCATGTGAGGCTGCAGATTTGGGGAAGTGGCAGGACAAGATCACCATTAAAGCAGGAGATGACACTCCAGTTGGTTACTCAGTTCCCATCAAACCTCTCGAATCCTCAAGACAAAACGGTACGGATGCCTCCAGTTACTACTGGTGCAAATTCTGCAGCTTTAGTTGTGAATCATCCAGCTCGCTGAAACTGTTAGAACATTACAGCAAGCACCATGGGGGGAGCCAGGCAGGGGGCCCTCACCCAGATCGGAATGACAAGCTCTCAAGGGGGTCGGTCATTAATCATAATGACTTAGCCAAAAATTCAGATGGAGAGTTAGCAACAAAGACTGAGAAGGGCTCTAGCGTGGCCAAAAAGAAAGACTTTTCCAGCTCAGGAGTGGAGGACAACATGGTGACAAGCTACAATTGTCAGTTTTGTGATTTTAGATACTCTAAGAGCCATGGCCCAGATGTAATAGTGGTGGGGCCTCTTCTTCGTCATTATCAGCAGCTACACAACATTCACAAGTGTACCATTAAGCACTGTCAGTTTTGTCCCCGAGGCCTCTGTAGTCCAGAAAAGCACCTTGGAGAAATTACTTATCCTTTTGCTTGCAGGAAAAGTAATTGTTCCCACTGTGCTCTCTTGCTCTTGTCCCCTGGGATGCCAGGAGGCTCCAGAGTCAAGCACCAGTGTCACCAGTGCTCTTTCTCCACCCCCGATGTAGACGTTCTCCTGCTTCACTATGAAACCACACATGAAGCCCAGGCGACTGAAGTCAAGCAAGAAGCTAATGCCCCGCAAGGGTTGGATGGGCTGCTGAGTGTCAAAGAAAGCAAAGACCACACGTGCACCAAATGTGACTTTGTCACTCAGGTAGAAGAGGAGATTTCTCGACACTACAGGTAAAAAAAAGAAAGTGATTGCGTGTGCTATTTAGCATTAAGGTTTAAATGTGGGAGCTTAAGGTTTAAATATGGGAGCTTGCCTACACATAGGACCCGTTCAGATGCTTATCCAGCTTTTGATCCCTTCAGACAATTGCAAGCATTCATGCCCTTCCATGTGGAAATAAGGTAACAACTGATGTGAGGCCTCTGTTTGTGTAATTTCTCTCTCTTCCCTTTTGGGTGAGAAGACACCAAGGAGCCGCAAGCCAGGAGTATTTGCACTGTAGGTTAGTTCTCAAGAGCTACTGCCCTCAAATATGATGGCCAAGGGCAAGGGTAGCCATTGTGGTGCCCTCTAGTGATTGTTGGGTTGCAGCTCCCATCAGCCTCAGCCACTGTGGCCAATGGTCAGCAGTGATGGGAGTTGTAATCCAACAGCATCTTGAGCAGGGGTCAGCAAACTTTTTCAGCAGGGGCCGGTTCACTGTCCCTCAGGCCTTGTGGGGGACAGGACTACATTTTGAAAAGAAAAATGAACGAATTCCTATTCCCCACAAATAACCCAGAGGTGCATTTTAAATAAAAGGACACATTCTACTCATGTAAAAACAGGTCCACAGGCTGGATTTAGAAGGCGATTGGGCTGGCTCCGGCTCCCAGGCCTTAGTTTGCCTACCCATGATCTAGAGAGCACTACATTGACTGCCTTTGATGTAGCGCAATTTTCATATCAAAAAAAAGGACAACTTGTAGAATACACTAGTTAACCCATAGGTCTATGAAAGTGAAGGAAGCAACCGTTTTCCTAAAATGTGAGAGCCTCATGAAAGTAGAAAAACTTCAGAAAGAAATGGAATAGCCCCTCTATTCCCCAGATCTGCTAATCCTGATTACCTAAAGCACTGCTTCATCCAGGATAGATCTGGCCAGGCTTTAGGATAAGCTTCAGAGGCCTTGCCTTAAGTGCCATCATCTCAAGCCATTTTGTGAGTAAGCCTGAGAGACAAGATTTGCCCTCCAGCAACATCTGGAGAGCGGCACGTTGTCTACCCCTGCGCTACAGAAAACGAAACTTGGGCATCTTGAGAACACGCTGAATAGGCTTCATGAAATGAAAAAGGAGGGATCTACACTATAATAGAACCATTCAGTTGAGATAAAAGAGGAAAGTACCTGGACATTGCTCAACTGTCAGCTGTATTGACTAGATCTGAGGAGCCCATAAATTAATGGCGCCTGTTACTCATATGTAACTAACAGCTGTGGCCCACACAAGTTACAGGCTCCAGCATGTATTTCCCCCTTTCGATGCAAGTGGGCCGTAGGGGTGCTGTTCAGATTAATTGGTTAACAACTGTAAACAGCTTTGAAGATGAAAAGTTGTTTCTGTGTCTTAGGTGGTATTATAATTTATTTTTATTAGTGCAGCTCTGGGCCATATTGGAAAACTTGACTACACAGCACTTTGACCACACTTTGAACGGCCTTTCTTAAGTCTTAAGATCTTTCAGGTGACTGAGAATACTCTTCTGCAGAGAAAGCTTTAGCTGATGTTTTTGTCTGCTTAAATTAAGATGTCCCTTCCCAGGAAATATAATAGTTTTTTATTCCCCAAAGTGGATTTTTATATTTAGACCTTTTGATTATTGGCCTAGTTTTCAAAAGAACCGAGTGTCATATAGTTCCCGTTGACGTCAATGGTACATAATACTGTTGGGGAAAAAATCACACCACTTATTTAGGTGACTAAATATGCTTTTGGGAACCTAAAATTAGGATCTTGAGCTTCAAAAAATCTTGGCTAGAATTCTACAAACCTTCTGGCACAACAACCCAGCATTTATTCTGTATATATATTTACGTATACTTTACCCCAAAAAACCCATATGATCTCCTTTTTTAGATGGTTGCTCTGTAAAATATATATGATCAAAGTTTTCATTGTTCTTTCTATTCCTTTTTACTATATTTGTTAATTTTCAAAAAAAAGTTTATACCAGATTCTGCAAAATACTATATTTCTCTATATACAAGCTTGTCAGCTTTAAAACTTTGGTTTTAAGATAAAGCTTTAAAAATGTTAAACTGGGTTAAATGTATTATAATCAGTTCACAATTTCATTTTTAATCGTTAATTTGAATCGTATGTCTGTGACACCAGGTTATACCAACACTGTGTGGAAAGAGTCCTGCTTGTGAAACAAGATTTCCATTTCCTCTCTTTCCTTAAATCCCCTCCTATCTGCTCCAGCCACACCCCCTCTTCCAATCTGATTTTGAGGGTTTATGAGAGGGTTGGTAGGGACGGGAGAGGAAGGGAAGCTTTGTTGCACACTCAGAAATCTGTTGCATGAGCACTGAATGAGCACATTCTGCAGCACTGAATACAGCCCAGGGCATCTGGGATTGTTAAACATTTGTCCAAGTGCGCCTCCTGAAAATGGTTCCTTTAGTATAAATCATCAAGGTGCAGGCTGCATTCATATGGAATGCTAAGCCATTGTTTAGCCTTCTTGTGGCTTGCCTGCACGTCCAAGCCCACTCTGAGCAACCAACCATGGTTTAGTTTATTACAACAAGCCATGGTTTATTGTTGGCTTACGAATCTTGGTGTGTTTTAATAAACATTTGCCATAACATCTGAACCCAGAATTCTCACTTAATCCTGGATAGTTTTGATGCCTTACTCAAAATAGTTTGCCAAACTATAGCAGCACAAAGCAAGAACAGTTAGAAAATGAAACTGCTGCCCTGAGTAGGCAATTCTATATGGACCTTTTCAGAAGTAGCACTTGTTCTTACTACAACTTGGCAACAACCTTCTTTCTCTTCCCAACTACTACCTCTCAAGCAACCTGCCTAGTTTTGCCACTTCATAATACAGTGCTACCTCGCAAGACGAATGCCTCGCAAGATGGAAAACTCTCAAGATGAAAGGGTTTTTTGTTTTTTGAGATGCTTCGCAAGACGATTTTCCCTATGGGCTTGCTTCGCAAGACGGAAACGTCTTGCAAGTTTGTTTCCTTTTTCTTAACACCATTAATACAGTTGTGACTTGACTTCGAGGAGCAACTCATAGCACGCGGTGTGGTAGCCTTTTTTGAGGTTTTTGAAGACTTTGGTGATTTTTGAAGCTTTTCCAAAACTTTTCCGACACCGTGCTTCGCAAGACGACAAAACTCGCGGAACGAATTAATTTCGTCTTGTGAAGCACCACTGTAATAATAATAATAATAATAATAATAATAATAATAATAATAGGAAGAAGAAGAAGAAGAAGAAGAAGAAGAAGAAGAAGAAGAAGAAGAAGAGGGTTCCATCTGCATTGTTGCTAACCATGTTTAATGGGAACAGTAACCGGGCCTGGAATCAGTGTTTAAAACAAGGAATTACAAAACCTGATTACCAGGGAATTTTATTCATGTTAACCATGGTTTTCAGCAACGCAAACATAAAAAGCTGCATGTGGTTAAAGCAAGCTTATGGAGGCAGGGAATTTGCGCAGGAGAGTGGTAGGGAAGGGGATGGAGTACCTGAGTCAACAAAATGCTCTGATCACCTAAACGTCACAAGGAAAATCAGGAGTTTGATGACTGAACCTGGGACTTGCATCATGTAACAGTATCTTGGTGCAAGTCATATTCTGAGTAAGTTCAGTCATGACAGAAAGAAAGCAATGAAGGCTCACACAACTTTATCAATACTAAACAGCATATTGAGAAAGTCGTTCTCCTGTATTGCTTAACTTGATGTAGATTGTTTACAAAAATCCCAGATGTGGTTCTGATTAAAATCTGGTTTAAATCCTATTTATGCTTTCATCTTTAATATTTAGAAAACTTAAAAAAGGAGAGTAAAATTTACATAAATGTCCTGCTGCCTTTATCAATTTAGTGGTGTGTGTGTAAAAAAAACCACCCTGCTTTGTTTCTTTCTTCCATATTTCTTAAATTAAATTCATCAAACTTTTGCCTTTTACCAAATCTCTTTTCTCTCTCCCCTCTCAATCAGTAAGGGCCTAGGTATATGACACACCATTTGTTAAATTAATAATTTTATGAATTATAAAAGCAAATTCCAGGTTTTTGTGGGGGTGATCTGAGTTGGCATCCTAATGTGGAGGTTAGGGGGCTTTAGCCCTTGGACACCAACTTTGGTCCTTATGTAGGTTCCATGGCTATTTTCAACAGGAAAGAAATCCCTATTGGGTGTGTATTGCTGATTCTGTGAATAGCATTTTTTGTCCTAATTTCCATTAAATTTGGGGTGTTAATGTTGAACCAAAGACTGATGTCAATGTACTCTTAGCTGTAACAAATTATTGCGGGTTCCAGTACTTTCAATTTAGGTGTTTGATTTAAATCAAAATATTTAGGTCACCTTCCAATTTTTCTAACGCTTTCATACATGAAATGAAACCTTTGAAATCTTGTATAATCCATATTGCAAATCTTAACTGATTTGAAAAATGCTTAATCGTCATTGTGCTCTTCACAAAATCCTAGGGACTGTAATGTTGCAGATCTCAGCAAATGGATAATGCTACCCTCTCACACAATTCATTTGTTTGGAATTATTATAATTCATACTACTTTAATATGTAGACAAAACCTTACACCAGAAGAATTTGCACTGTCTAATTGGTGTATGAATATCCACCTTTTCCCCCATAAATGTCATAATTTCGCCCTAAGATCTGGGCTAGAGAAAGGGATACGGTAATTTGATGCACACTTTTTTGGTTGCATGAAGCAAGACACAAACCAGGAGCTCAACAGACACAGCACCAACTTCCTACATCCTGTATCATTAGGCACCCTCTTTACAGTAGCAAACCTCTGGCAGTTTAGGACAATTGAGCTTTTTTGGGGGGGGGGGCAAACCCTATAGTTCAAACCACTATACAGCTTTTCTAAACCAAGGGTAGCCAATGTGGGGTAGTCAAACATGGATTTGATGTAGCAGTTTAGATGTAGACTACAGCCCCAGATAGCCATTTTTTAAGGATAATGGGACTTGTAGTCCCAAACACCTAGACTCTACTACATTAGCTACTTTGGTCCTTGATTACAACATTCCAAATATTGAAATCTTGTGATCCCAGAGAGCCAATCCAATGTCTTTGCTTGCTACTAAGTTACAGAGGTTGCTGAGCAAATTATTGCTATGGAAAGCTTTCAGTGCATTTCTTCCAGACTCTTCCTTATTGCCTGTCTGCCTATTTCCTTACTTCCAGACCTGCCTTTTAGTAGGTTTCCTGCCTTTGCTGTGCACTTAAAACCCAGGAACTATGACATATCTGAGCTTCCTTTTCTAGGATGTGAACTGCATCTTGGCATGCCTCATCTACTTTCAGTTTTCACTATCTAAAAACTCCCTAGTATATTATAATATAAAGGAGGAAAAGGATTGGCTCTTGTTAAAAGGATGGGTGTGCTTGTGAGCCAAATGCAGTTCTTAATGAAGACAGTAGGAGCCTAGCCACTGGCTTTAGTTGGACTAGATTTCCCCATTCATTTTTCCAGCGACTAGTGTTGCTATGGCAATAACACATTTCTTACAAGTGTTTGGTCCTGTATAACATAGTCCAGGGCTCGTTTACTCTACTCTCCCAGTCCACTTAATTTGGCCGGGTTTGCTTTATATGTGGCAATTTTCCCTACACAAAAACATGGTGCTTTGGGGGGGGGATTTATGTATGAGAGAATGCACACATTCATATGTATTTTGCCATTTTAAGTACGCAGTTTGGGAAAGCTGTTGAAACTGCGCTGTATTTGTGGCAAAATTGTATGCATTGTGAATTTATGTGCTTGTTTAGTAACAATATTTCCTTATACAGATATGATCCTTGCATAGGAACATTGTTGTATGGCGTACACATCCCTTAGTATTGTTGAACTCCAGTACATAAAATGCATGTGCATTTTTGGAATAAGGATTTGGTTGCAGACTTGTGGATGTTTTGGTACAGGACAAAGCCTTTTTTGGAAAGAAAGAAAAAAGTAAATCCATTTTATTACAAATCCTCTCACTCCGGGGTCCTGATCCTGACTGGGAAGTCTGTGTGCTACTGTAATGCTAATAAAACAGTATCATGTTAGCTCATAAAACGTGTTCTGTTACTATGGCATACACAGGAAATTGGCAACATATTGTTCCAATGTGGGAACATATGTTTTACATAGTTCAGTAATACAGTACTTTGCATGGTCTGCTTGAATGAAAATAGGCATGTGTGTTATTCTAAGGTATATAAGACACTTATATTGCCTGTACTGGAGATTGCATATTAGGTAATTCCCCTGCTTTGCTAGTTGAAGTTTTATGATTGATCCAAGTTTCTCTCAACCCCCTCCCCTGCTCCACATTTCACAGCACCGTGTAATACTCTACCACATAATCTGGTCTCTTGCTTTTAAAAAGACAAGTCTCTTAAATAAAAACCTTGATAATTTCCATAAAAGAAAAAACATTATTTGTTTCCTGCAAAAGCAATTGCATTTGAATTAATCAGTTTTAGTTCCAATGGTTCCCTGTGCTCTGATTTGTTTTTAATGAACTATATATTGTTGAAGGAAGCAAAGTTATCAAATACAATTGGACAATTTAAGTGAAACTCCATGCAGCATATTACGTGTATATCACAGGTTCACAATCTGTTTGCCATTTTATCATTAAATCCAAACCCTGTAGTTGCAAAATAAATTGAATCACAATAAAGACAATTATTTTGAAGTATTACAGTCAAACTTTGGTTGCCGAACGTAATCTGTTCTGGAAGACCGTTTGACTTCCGAAACGTTTGATAAACCGAGGTGTGGCTTTTTGCACTCAAGCGGAAGCCACGTCAGACGTTCGGGTTCCGAAAAACGTTCAAAGACTGGAGCATTTTCGTCTGGGTTTTTTGCGTTTGGTACGATAACGGAGGCATTCGGGAACTGAGGTTTGACTGTATTCCTGTGGAAAGAAAATCCAACAAAAATAAACATTGGTTTCCAGTTTTCATAATATGCATCCAGTTTTTGCCTATGCACACATATGGTAATAAAACAAGGGAGTTTCCATAATTTTGCACAATTCTCATGAGTTCTAACAGCCATTTGTTAAAAAACAGAACTATTTTTGGTTTCCAAAGCTCACTATTTCCATTGCTGATGTGAACACCTTTTTTATAGCTGCTCCGATAAGACTTCAAACACATTTAATTAAACCAGCAAATAACAACAAAAGCCCGTAACAGGTGTCAGGGGCAGAACAGGTAACTTAAGAACCTAAGAAATGTCTGCTGGATCAATCCAGAGACTCATCTAGTCCTGCACTGCTTTCACACTGGCTAACCAGATACCCATGGGAAGCCTGAGAGCAGCAGCATTTTCACCATTTGTGATTCCCAGGAAATGGTATTTAGAATCATAGTGTCTCAGACAGTGAAGGTAGAATATGGTGCACATGTTCTCTGTGACAGTGGAGGTAGAGCACACCCGTAGCAATTAATTTAGTACCAGTCTAAAACTACATAGAGCATGGAGATAGGAGTGTCTGTATCGCTGGGAGTGAGTGGGAAACGAGTTGCAGGGGACATTGGGATGCTAGGTTTAATAAATTAGAGACTCAGGGGTCAGCAAACCTTTTCAGCAGGGGGCCGGTCCACTGTCCCTCAGTCCTTGTGGGGGCTGGACTATATTTTGAAAAAAATAATATGAATGAATTCCTATGCCCCACAAATAACCCAGAGATGCATTTTAAATAAAGTGACACATTCTACTCGTGTAAAAACATGTTGATTCCTGAACTGTCCGCGGGCCGGATTTGGAAGGCGAGCGGGCCGGATCCAGCCCCCGGGCCTTAGTTTGCCTACACATGAATTAGACCCTGCAAGCTTCTGCCAGATGTGGCTTCTGCTGTCACTGCATTGCTTTCTGATGTCTCTCTCAATTAATATGTTCTGACCACAAATTATTATAAATCTATACCACTAAATGTTGAGATATTAGGTTCTTCATATGCTGCGTTTTTAACTCTTCATCTAAAAAAGAACCTTGGTATTGAGATTTCGGGAAGTGGCAGAGATGGACTGAAATAATATAATCTCCAGAGGGGTAGCTATGCTAGCATGTGGTTACAACAGTTTTGTGGCACCTTAAATACTATAAACAAAACTTCTGTCATAAACCAGGGTAGCTTATATAGTACCCTACATATGTTTTTGGTTCCCAACTTCCCATGATTCCTGACCATTGGCCATACATATTGAGGCTGACAGGAATTGTAGACTAGCAATATTTGGAGGGGGCGATGTTGACTACCTCTGGTCTAAGCTTTTGTACTTTAGTCCGTTAAAGCTTTTTTCCAAAATAAATGTAGGCTATTCTTTAAGATGCCACAAGACTAACACAGTGAGTAGCAGAGACTATCCTGTAATTTGGTTCTCCTCAATTTGCAGCAGTTTAAAATTAAGTGTCGATTTTTTTTTATTCCACGGTACGTTCTAAATACAGATTGTTTCTTTTCAAAGCTTGTATTACCTGTTGTAATTTTTTCCTCTTTATCAATAGAAATGTAATTCACACTTTATTATTATTATTATTGTTGTTGTTAGTATTATTATTATTATTAGTAGTAGTAGTAGTAGTAATATTAGTATTATTTTCAAGACTTTAGCCTTGACCCTCACATTGCAGGATCCTGTCCCAGTGCCTTTGTGTACAGTGCAAATATCTGTGAGGAGTGGGACTTTGCACATGAAGACTTGCATGAGAATTGGAACCCTGGTCATTTGTGCTTCCAGATCACTCGGATTGTAATTCACACATGTAACTATACACTTGAAGGCCACTCACAACAGATGTTTGCAGTGTATGGGGAGACATCTGGAAAGCAACATGTGAGATTGAGGGAAGGGCCCCCTTTCTCGCTCTTGGGTTTTGTCAGTATGGGACCAATAGTGCCTGCATAGGATTAGGGAAGGAGATGGAAAGGAGACATAGAGTGAAGAACAGAATAATGGTAGATATATAATGAGAGATATAATGAAGATAAATAATGAAGAGTAGATATGATTTAGCATGTTGGGTTTAAAGGTGGAACCTAGTGCTGGAATGGTTAAAAGCTACTGGAACAGGAAATATTTGTTTCTATGCATTTTTGGCGTTTTTGAGGAAATAAATGGATGTTGGTTATGCAATATTAATTTTGCTTTCATTTCTCTGTCTTATCAGGAGAGTCCATAATTGTTACAAATGTCGTCAGTGCAGCTTTACAGCTGTTGATACTCAAACCCTACTGGAGCACTTCAACACTGTGCACTGCCAAGAGGTGGACATCACCACAGCCAATGGGGAAGATAGCCATGGGGTGGCTGCTGCTCTCAAGGAAGAGCCCAAAGTTGACCTAAAGGTCTATAGCCTGATCAGTGCAGACCCCAAACTGGGAGAGCCCGTCTCTGAAACTATAGTGAAGAGGGAAAAGCTGGACGAGAAGGAAGTACTGAAGGAGAAATGTTGGCCTGATGGGTCCAGTGACGATCACCGTGGTGCACCTTGGAGAGGAGTGGACATTTTGAGGGGGAGCCCTTCCTTTACCCAAACAAGCTTGGGCCTTCTGACCACAGTGTCTGTGGGCCAAGAGCAGCCAAAGCCCTTAAGGGATAGTCCAAACGTAGAAGCTGCCCATCTTGCACGGCCTGTTTATGGCTTGCCTGTCGAGACCAAGGGGTTCCTGCAAGGGGTGCCCCAAGGAAGCGGAGAGAAAGCTGGACCACTCCCTCAGCCATATCCTGGATCTGGTGATAACAAGGCGAAGGATGAATCTCAGTCCCTCCTACGGGTAGGAAATTCTATTTTTATTTTTGTCTGTGCATGTTTATGGTTCATTTATTCCGAGCTGATTCTCGGCAATCAAGCACACATTACTGATGTTGGCACTTGAAGCAATTCAGACTTACATGAGTAGATTGTAAAGGAATCGTTTTAAGAGCATTTGTACAAAGCTATACATGCTAGTTGCAGTAGTAAGTGATCTTTGTTTGCCTTTGCCATTAAATTTGGTTGTACTGCGATAATCATTCCTGCTGATTTTGCAAGATGATGTTACATTTGGAAAAGAAAAGCACAGAACCCCAGAAGGCTGCACATCTGTTGCAGTAAAGCATCTAATCACCTTCTAAATTTTAAGGTGGTTTGACAGTACACAGTTAAGCAAACCGTCACTGGATCAAATAGCTGAAAATGTGAAACCTGAATCAAATAATAATAAAAAGTAGGTCTGGGATTTTATTTTATTAAAAGTACAACACATGGTGTAATTAAATATAACATTTGGCGCTTGTTTGGTTGTGTTGGGAACTAGGAATTGAGGAGGTGAAACTTTTGTACTCTGTACTGCATAAGCATCTTTGTTGAATCTTCAGAAACAAACCCATACCTATTACAGGCCTATCCTTAAATATATATATATATATCAGAAGCTGTGGGCTCCTATAAATTTTATGCGTTTTATAACATATTACCTTCCTGCCAGTGTTATCTTGGAAGAAGGGCAGTGGCTCGGGGTGCCAGGGAACCTTATGCTTTCATAAGGTTTCAGTCCAATCCCTTCCATCTCCATGTGAAGCTGGGGAGACCCCCTTCTGAAACCCTGGAGAGCCATCACCAGTCGATGTAGACAACACTGAACTATATAGATTAATAGCCCAAGTCTGAATAAGGCAACTTCCTATGTTTCTAAGAACTCATAAACAGTCACATAGCCAGGCTTACTATTACCCATATTTGGATCTAATGAAGCCCTTATTTCATGGTATGCTCACTATTGAGTTCAGCAATGACCCATAAGCTGAAAGGTCCTGGTCCTTTTTTTAAAAAAAAGTTACATGTACCACAGTTTTTTAACAGATTAACTTTAGATGGTGCAAGTATTCTTTTCCCCATTGCCACCATCAACGGTTTTTTGCTGTAGCATTGCCAGGAAGTAGACATTACAGATCTGGCTCAAAATGATCCCACCTTGGAGATACCAAGAACTGGTTGCATAATGAATGAGTCCAGTAAGCATTATTCAGTGTGACTTGGCACTGAAAGGGTAGTTCGGTTTGCTCCAATGAAGTACGGAGTGGGTCTAATCTTTGCTTACCTGTTGGGCTTGCTCTGTGTTTATGAAATGCTCACATCACAAAGTTCAACCTCAACATACTTCATTTTGGTTTATTTGGGAAACATACCGAGGGAGAGCTTTGTTCAGAGAAAAAGAAGCATTTGAGAAAGCTAACTGAGAATAGCTGACCTATTTTCTCTCGAAAGAAAAACAAAACAAAAATAAGAGTTCTATTGTTAGAGCAGCTAGCCTTCCAATCTAAAATCAAAATATTCAGAATAAACCGAGCAATGTCAATTACGCAGTATGTTTTATTAATTCTTACCACTCACCAGGGCCGGCCCACCCATGAAGCAAGGTGAGGCAACCTCAGGGGGCATGATCTACAGGGGCAGAGATACCAGTGTATTCTCCCCTTGTTCATGATGTACGTCTTCTTCACCAACCCCTTCTTCCCTGCAGGGGAAGGGGTGTCATTCTGTGGTTCACCTCAGGTATTGGGACAGCCCTGCTACTCACTAATATTGCAATATTGTGGAGAGGGTTGTAGCATTCTTGCATATTTTGATACGGATTGGAGTGATATAAAATATTATATTTTGCCAGTGAGCAAGGAGGAAAGGGGATTTTTTTTGCCTTAGGTGTCAAAATAACTTGACCAGCCATAGGTACCTTGACTTGCAGGAGGTTGCCAATGGCAGCTCTGCGCCAGGCTGCAAAAAGTATTGTGCTGGCCTTGGGAAGAAGCAGGAGGTCTTTAAATAAAATATATTCAGCTAGCAAACCTCTTCACTTTTACAAGATTAAATTTCAAATAAATTCAGTACAAGTACGAATGAAAGGAACGAGAACATTGCATGTTAAGGAGCAAAACTTTTTCCTTCCAGAAAAGCCTGCTGTTTGCTATTCTGGGGTGTGGGCAAACCTTTGGGGAGTTTCAAATAAGCAAATCTATCTTTTTGCATGTTGTTTGCTTAAAGTATCTAAATGAAGTTGGTAACCATGTAATTAGTGGTGTGGGGGATAAGAGACATAGCCTTTTGTTTTACCTTTAGATATCAAAGATTTCTAAAGATGGGCAAAGCAGAAAAACATGAACATTTTAGCAGGTGCTATAAATGCACCAAAGAAAGTCAAAAAGCAGATCAGTGTCAAAATAGGAACCAGATCCTTGATTTTTTTGCCTTCTCTGCAGAGCAGTGCATATCTCGGCTATGGGATTGTCTAGCATTTAAGTGAGCATTTGTGTTAAACCACAGAGCCTAGGACTTGCCAATCAGAAGTTCGGCAGTTTGAATCCCCACGATGGGGTGAGCTCCCGTTGCTCAGTCCCTGCTCCTGCCAACCTAGCAGTTCGAAAGCACGTCAAAGTGCAAGTAGATAAATAGATACCGCTCCGGCGGGAAGCTAAACGGCGTTTCCGTGCGCTGCTCTGGTTCGCCAGAAGCAGCTTAGTCATGCTGGCCACATGACCCGGAAGCTGTACGCCGGCTCCCTTGGCCAATAAAGCGAGATGAGCGCCGCAACCCCAGAGTCGGCCTAATGGTCAGGGGTCCCTTTACCTTTATGTGCAGATACACCAGTGTGTAATTGACTTGTGGCATTTTCACTGCTAGAGCTGAGGCTAATTTTTGGGAGGGATGGACACATTGGAATGGCATTCATCTTTATTTAGGAAATTCAGCAGACAGGGACTTTAGGAAGGCTTATTCTTCTTCCTTTCCAGCTATAGGAAAACCCCGCAGCTAGATGCAGGTAGGTAGCTAAATATACACAACTTATTCATATTACTATTCATCAGCATACATAGGGACATGAATTCTGCTATTACTTTTGGTAAATGAATTCTTCATGCAGCAGGCTTGTGTTTTTGTGTGGCGATCAATGTCTACAGCCAATTTTTTAAATGCTGGTTTGTACAAAGTTGTGTCCAACCATAAGGTTCAGAAACATGTTTCTGCTTCATATCTTAGACTACAAAAATGAGGCAGGGGGATTACAGGCATTTTTTTGGTATGGCATAACACCTGGGGGGGGGGGCAGGGATGGCATCAGTTACCTTAATTGACTTTAACATGCAAATATGTTCTTATTTCAACTGAAACCATGGTTTCAAATCCTGCTTTGTGACCAATCCTTAACTAAGGTGCTGGTATTGAAAAATAATAACTTACCATGTCAAAGGAGAACAATCTATGCTTAGGCATTATCGGTGCTTTTTTCTTTAAAAATGTTTAGGGGTACTCTCATTTTGACCCCGGAAAATCAACATTCTATAGTTCAAATTGGGAAAAAATAAATACAGTGAATGGACAAATGTACAAAGATTCACAAAATGTTTAGGGGTACGTGTACCCCTGCGTCCCTCCATAAACAAAGCACTGGACATTATGCCAGTGTAGAGATTTTTCAGGATTTTCAACTGTGTAGAAAGTGAACATATACCAGAAAGTTATAGAATATTGGGTAGAATAACTTCATTTTAGTTAGTATTTTCCCCACTGTTTCCCTAGAACGTTTTTACATTTTAGAAAACAAAGCACAAAAATATCTTCCAGCGCACTACAATGTCGATATTTCTATCCCTTTCTTCTTTAGCCTGGCTGCAATTTATCTTTTAAAGGTTTGTTGATACAGGATGAGTCTATTGATATGCAAAAATGTTCTTTTGAGTGGTAGGGGAAGCTTTGGCTGCTGTTTTAGTAGCGACTGAGTGAAGCAACCTTGTTTACTGCTTTGAGAACTCTTTTTTTCTGGGCAAGCATGCTAAATTGATTTCAAATAAAGCAAGTTGCCTGGTTAATTATATTTAGTATTTTATATAATGCCTTTTCTCAGTGCTCAAAGCATTTTAACGTATAGGGGCATATCCAACTGAGTTGTACTCAAAGTAGACCAGTTGAAATCAGTGGACTCGTTGATTTCAGTGGGTCTACTCTGAGTTTGGCTAACATTGTGTAGCACATAAATCATCTCAGTTATACAAAGAAACTGTAAGGTAGGTTGGCTTTATTATTCCCATATTGCATATGTGGGAAGAAGGGTTGAGGCTGAGAAATGGTTGCCTGCATCAGGTAATGATTGTATCGGGGACCCCTTAGCTCATTTTATTTAAGCAGTACATTATGCAAACGCATACCTTGCAAGTCCTTGGTCATCTCTGGGTTCTGGGGTAGCTGTTTTCCTGCACAGTAGTGACATAGGTAGCTGTAGGTTGCCCGAGGGGGAGGCAGTGGGCAGACGCAAGCCCCATGCTGTCATTTCAGGCAGTGCGAAACCTGCAGACGCCTCTGCTGCACACAGAAGTACTGGAGGAAACTATGGAATTGCAAACTTGTCTCCTTGCCATTCAGCAGGATACATCATTGGGGGGGGGGAGCATTTGAAGAAAAGGATGTCCTCAGCCATATCAAAAACATCACTTATTTTGATGTACAGTGGTACCTCGGGTTAAGTACTTAATTCGTTCCGGAGGTTCGTACTTAACCTGAAGCTGTTCTTAACCTGAAGCACCACTTTAGCTAATGGGGCTTCCTGCTGCTGCCATGCCACCGGAGCATGATTTCTGTTCTTATCCTGAAGCAAAGTTCTTAACCTGAAGCACTATTTCTGGATTAGCGGAGTCTGTAACCTGAAGCGTATGTAACCTGAAGCGTATGTAACCCGAGCTACCACTGTATTTTTGAATGTGGCATGAAATAATGACCTGTAGGAAATCACTGGCACAAGAAAAA